CAAGTTTGAGTCACTGGGAATAAACTAAGGTTTCCTAAATGAAATAGATGCTTACCATGAACAACAGGTAAATAATGAGAATTAGAAACGCTTTCTCTCTCAAGGCACTTCAGAAGAATTTTTTTTTTTTGTTCCAGAAAATCCTCAAGTCTATTTCAAAAAACACCACAAGTTGAGTAGCCACAGATACTGTGTTAAGTCTTCTCAGAGGTAATAAGAAACAAAGCTTGGAAGCTCCACTGACAGAAAAATTATATATCTAATTGTAAAATGTCCAGCATTAATCAGAATAGTGAAATAAAGACCAAGTATTTTAAAAGACGTCAAAACCCCTGAGTTTCCTTCATCAAAGGTAATTATTCTCTTCTTGTTTGAAAATTTCTTGATAACTCTAAATTTCTTTGGAAATGTGGGCACAGACTGCACTGACATGCACTGGATAACATGACACAGCTTTAATCGGTGACTGAAGAAAACAGGATGCAGTAGAAAAGGAAATTTTCAACGATCAATCACACCTTTCTTTCTAAAACCAACTTTGTTACTGTCAGTACCCATTACATTACAGTGTAACATGTTTATCTGGAGAGCTTGTTTCTGGGTGAGGACTCATTACTAATTTGCAGTTATTCATTAAATTGTTACTGGAGAGCAATGTCATCACAGATGGAGAGATATGTACTGCATTATTAAGAAGCTTGTCAACTTATAAATGAAAGTCACCATAACATTAGTGAGAAGAAAATGAGAGGGGGAGTCTTTGCTGTTTTGGCTTCTTTCCACCCTGCCCACTTCCTTCATATTTTGTTTCAGCTGCTCCAATGCCACAGTTAAGTTCAAAGCTGACCTCTAGTTCTTCCAGAAGCCAGTTTCTGGAGGAACTGAATTTTAGGGTCAGGGTAAGAGATGAAAAAAATCGAAGTAAAAATCACAGAACCATTTAGGCTGGAAGGGAATTCAGTTCAGAGGTTCAGTTACAGGTTGTTTGGGTTTTTTTCCCATTGCTGATCTGACCATACCTGACAGTGCTTTTGATGATACTATATATGCTTCTATAAGCAAAGGTCTAATTGCATGAAGCAGAAGTACTTTATCCATTTTAGAAACATCTGCAGCCAGAATTTAAAAGCATCAACCCAGGAAAAAAAAACAACCAACCAACAGACCAGTCAGTCTCACCTCTGTACCTAGCAAAATCTTGGAGCAGATTCTCCTGGAAGGCATGCTAAGGCACATTAAAATCAACAAGGTGCTTGATGACAGCCAGCAAGGCTTCACTAAGGGGAAATCCTGCCTGACCAATTTGGTGGCCTTTTATGATGGGGCTACAGAACTGATGGACAGGGATAGAGCAGTTGATGTCATCTACCTGGACTTGTGCAAAGTGTTCAACGCCATCCCACATGACATTCTTGTCTCTAAATTGGAGAGACATCAATTTGCTGGATGGACCACTCTGTGGATAAAGAACTGGCTGGATGGCCGCACACAAAGAGTTGTGGTCAACGGCTCAGTGTCCAGGTGGAGACCAGTAACGAGTGGTGTCCCTCAGGGATCAGTGTTGGGACCGGCCTTATTTAACATTTTCGTTGCTGACATGGACAGTGGGATTGAGTGCGCCCTCAGCAAGTTTGCCAATGACACCAAGCTGTGTGGTTCGGTTGATACGCTGTAGGGAAGGAATGCCATCCAGAGGGACCTTGACATGCTTGTGAGATGGGCTGATGCCAACCTCATGAAGTTTAACCATGCCAAGTGCAAGGTCCTACACCTGGGTCAGAGCAATCCCAGACACAGCTACAGGTTGGGCAGAGAAGAGATTCAGAGCAGCCCTGCGGAGAAGGACTTGGGGGTGTTGGTCGATGAGAAAATGAACATGAGCCAGCAGTGTGCACTTGCAGCCCAGAAAGCCAACCGTATCCTGGACTGCATCAAAAGGAGCGTGACCAGCAGGTCGAAGGAGGTGATCCTGCCACTCTATTCTGCTCTCATGACACCTCACTTGGAATATTGTGTGCAGTTCTGGTGTCCTCAACATAAAAAGGACATGGAACTGTTGGAACAAGTCCAGAGGAGGGCCATGAGAATGATCAGGGGACTGGAGCACCTCCCATATGAAGACAGGCTGAGGAAGTTGGGGCTGTTCAGCCTGGAGAAGAGAAGGCTGCATGGAGACCTCATAGCAGCCTTCCAGTATCTGAAGGGGGCATATAGGGATGCTGGGGAGGGACTCTTCGTTAGGGACTGCAGTGATAGGACAAGGGGTAATGGGCTAAAAGTTAAACACGAGAAGTTTAGATTTAGGTAAGGAGGAAATTCTTTCCTATTCGGGTGGTGAGGCACTGGCATGGGTTGCCCAGGGAGGTTGTGAATGCTCCATCCCTGGCAGTGTTCAAGGCCAGGTTGAACAAGGTCTTGGGTGATATGGTTTAGAGCAAGGTGTCCATGCCCATGGCAGGGGGTTGGAACTTGATGATCTTTAGGTCCTTTCCAACCCTAACTATTCTATGATTCTAAATAAATCAGGATTCCCCTACTCCACAACCAAACCGAAGCCTGTGGTATTAATGTTCTGTCCAGAATGTATTCCCTTTCAGCTGCAGAATTGTTAGTCTAATGCTTAAGGTCAACAAAATGTCCCTACTGCTCAATATGAGACATACCCATGTCACACAACAAAATTCTTCCTACTTCTGGGCCAGACACATTCTGTGGCCATGTTTATCTAAAGGTAAGTGTTGAACTATTACCTCCACTCCCCCGCATTTTTTCTATACATCTGCAACTGTATAAATAGAGCAGTGAGTCATTTTGGTGCCTAAGTGATAAAACACTGAATTTGATTAGTGACCGATATATCTCTTCCAAACAACACATGCAAGCGATATAGGAGCCTACATGTCAGCAACTTACTGTGAGGTCTGGACTCCTGCACCAATATTTTCACATCTAGTCTGCATAAGTAAAAAATTTTGTCTAATCCTTGATGGTTATATTCTTAATATTTGCAAGACTGGTGCAAATGTGCAGCAAATCCCAAAGAACTAGGCCAGTATCACTGCTGACTCAGCATCATGCAAACCACTCACGCTCAAGAGTGTCTAGTATCTGCACTGGAAAAAGATGTATTTAATCTCCTCTGGATGGAATAACACAGTCTAAATGTACAATCAGATGTTGCCTTGAGGACACATTTTAGCAGATTCAGGGATATAAACACATTGCTGAGACCAGCTGCTTGAAAAACCCCCAAGGCTTTAGCAATTCAAGTGTTGCAATGGCGTCTGTAATCTTCAGGTTACAATGTAAAAAGATCGCTACTTGATCTGACTTTTAGGCAGTGTTCAGATTTAATGCCTCAGAGTTTTAACTGCCCTGATTACAGAATACTTTGACCCTCTGGTCTCTTGGAATATTAAATCAAAACAGAAGTTTTGTTTTGTTCTCAGGATGTGAAGATATAGCCTGATTTTTACCATATATGCATTTCACTGTGCTTTTAGCAAAAAAAGGCTTTCTACATCAAAATTTCACTCAGTAGAATGAAGACAATGTTCCCCTCTCTCTTTAGTGCTTAAACTGGAACTAAATATGATTTTTAAAAAAGTGTACATAAATAATGTCTTAGGTTTTGGCTTGGATTTTATGTGATTTGGTATTTTGGGTTGGTTGGATTTTTTTTCTTCTCGCATATCAAGACAACTACAGAACATATTCACTCACAACTGTGGTAAAATAAGAGTTCTCACATTCTTCTCAGTGTTGGGGGCAATGCGTCACAGATGCATGTCAAGGCTTTCAGGGAAAGAGTGTGCATGCAGATTTCAAATCTGCAATACTCAAGAAGGTAAAAAAACAACTTACAAGAAATTACTGCATATCAAGAGAGACCTGCTGGTTCAGTAGTACTACTTAACTCTTACCTTTTCCCACTGTAGAGACAAAAGAGGAAGGAAAGAGGCATGCTGGGTTAATGCAGGTCTGGGTGTCACCAGTTATACCTGTAAGTGAGCAGAAGCCTGCTCCCATAAACCAGGTAACAGTCTACACAAATTCTTCTTCCTTTTTTCTGCTGCTATGTTCACTCTTCTGTATGGTCTGACACTGAGTGCATATTGCACCCAAGTAGTCATCTTCAGTAGCAAAGAGTATAGCTAGTACAGAGAGGTTTCAGAGTGGATAACATATATTCCTTAGAACAAGGATGTCTCACGTAAGAAAAATAAACTATCTAATCTATGAACTTAGAAGTAAAGGACAGTCAAGCAGTAGATCCAAACATAGCAATCAGTACTAGGTATAGTAAGCACAGAGAAAGGATCACCAGGTTTGTACCAACCACTGATCAGCTATAGCACAACAAGACCTGTAGTACAAAGTTGACACCCAGACGTTTGAGAAGTACACACCACCTTTTTTATGGCAGTCCTGGCAAGTTATACAACCAACACACACAGGAAAATGCTAAAGCATTTCTAGAAATAGAGGCTTTTCCTGAGTATACAAAACATCAATTTCCCATATGCACTAGTACAGAGACACTTCAGTGCCTAAAAGAAATCATGCTCCATCATTAGTATTTTACAAAGAAAACATACAGCTAACAAACTAGAAAGTACCTATGCACACACAATTCAAAACTACAAACCTGCACAGCCCACCTCATGAGCCCTAACACTCAATACCAAACACAAACTTTCAAATCTTGAAGTCATCGATCTGTGAGCTCCCATGGACTAAATTGCCTGCCCTATTTCAGTTTGCTAAAACTGGGACCAACACTGCACTGACTTACTATAAACAATCTCCTGTTTAACCCAGGGAAACCTTTTTAACCCACATGAAGTAGAAATGAAAACAACTGACATCTGCCAGCAGGAAGGAGGGTATCAAATAATGTCCTAAAGTAAATTTCCAAGGTAACAGCTAATTTATTTGCTAACACCAGCATAGAGTCATGGAATCTCTGTTGCAATCACTGACGCGTGTGCAACACTAACCTTCATCACTTCAACCTGCAGGTCTTCATTGAGTGAAGGAGTCACTTTGACGGCATTCAGCATCTGATTAAGCAATTGTTTCTCATCTGAATCGGTTTCCACGGATACAAACCTCTCATCAGACAGCAGCTTCTGCAGAGAGAAATTGGCAGCGTACAGGTTCAGACAAAACTGCTTCTGCTTAATTCTACTGTCAACTACTACACCTAAACCTATTAGTGCTTGGTACTATGATGGCTAGGTTTTCTACGTACATGTTTCAAATTGATCTAACAATACAAAATATGAAAGTACAGCAAAATCTGTGCCACGATGAGGGAACCATTAAAATCTTTCAAATCAGCTGCCATTCCATATCATAAATCCAGATGGAGGACTGTATTGATGCATGGATTATCTTTTCAGGCTTATAGATAGGAGGTAACACTCTTAATTTAAGGTACCATGCTGCAAATCTGCAACTTGGCAATTCCAGTTCATACAGAACAAAAGTGCATGTGCAGCAAGTTAAAAGAGTAAAAAGATAAATTCTGTCTTCACTGAGTGTTTCCAAGGAAGTTATACTACAGTGGAGAGTGGGTCATCCCCAATTCCTCCACTATTTTTGGCTGACAATCACTCTACAATGTTCTAACTGATGTACTTGCACTGATACAACAGCAGACACATGTTCCAGGCCCACTAGCATACTGTTGCTTTTACTTTAAGAGCAACCCCTGCACCCCCCCATATATCTGAAATACAGGGCACAGGATCTCAGGGTGGGACCAGAGTACTATGCCGCAAGAAGGTGATATATGTCTTCTGGCAGATCCAGAAACCCTTCAGGAACCCTTCAGTTCCCTCACAGGAACCCTTCAGAAAGGGCATTTTTTTTCCCTAGCCAGAGCCTCCTACAGCCCTGTTGTGTCACAATATGGGGCACTCTCTAACCAAATGCCTGACATCTCATATGCTGAATTAAATGAGATTTGAACTTACATGCTTATACTCTCAAAAAAACTTCATGCTTGCCTTTTGAAGGAGAAATTTCTTTTCGGAAAATGGTGGCATGCATTTCATGCCCCAGCAGTGCAGCAGCCTTTTCCACAACTAGTATCTCCCTAGTGATAAGTATTTACTGATACATACTCATTTGTTCAATTAAAAGAAAGGTAAACTGCTTTAGTTTTTATACTGTCAAACCCAAGAGAGTCTTTCTGTTATTTGTGCTGCAGTGCTGTTTCATTTTGCAATTTCATAAACTTCCAAATCAGATGCTACTCCTACTGTTTTCAGTGTACAAAAACCTCTGAGAAGTGCCCACACAGAGAATGCAGCTCCCAGATATTTTATTCACCTCTTCATCTTTCAAGCACTGCTGTCCTCTCTTCTAATCAAAGAAAACAGCAAGACTTGACTCAGTTTAGTTTCTAAGACATTTAGCAGTGGCAAGGCTTACTGAGGCTAGCACACAGCCACACAAGGAACAGTACATCTACATTTCAACATTGAAAGCCAGGAACCCCAACCTATCTGCATCACATTCTTAGCTCCTACAGAAACACCAGCCTTTACTTGCATCCTAACTTCTAAACACTCTTACAGAAAGATGAACATTATTGTTGTTAGGTCCACACAAGGACAGACACTTTTTCTGTAGTACTTTTCTAAAGAAAAGCCTAGATTTCCTTAACAGTCACTGCCCACTAACACACCCCCACTCTAAAACCATACCTGCATCCCTGCTAGAGCCTGCTGGGCCAGCTTCATGCTCTTCGATTCCAGAGCTAGTTGGAGAGGAAGGAGACACTTCTCCCTGATGAAAATAAAAAAAATAAAAAATATATATAAGTGAGAAGGAACAATGGAACTACAATTGGTATACAAAGGAGTAACACTCCAGAAGAGCTGTATCACTTTAAGTAAGATGAGACTTGTGTACAGTAATCAAGGAGAATTTCACAGCTCTGTGAAGCACTTTTACCATCTCGAGAAAGCCGGTATATTTCTTCACATACTGTTAAGAATGGCCTTTTAATTGAAATTTCACAAAATACTTCCAAACTGTTAGCCCTCTGTGTACATACATGAATGTGCTAAGCATAAAGAAGGGATCTGCAGCTCACTAGTGGTCCTTCAACTCGGCGTGTTAAGCATTACACTTCAGTCACCTACCTTCTGTTTCATATTCCAATTGCCAGAAAACTGTTTTTATAATCCACTTTCAATTAGTCAAGTTTTGTTCTCTACCCTCCTCTACAGTAGTGTGCAGCTACTTCCTGTCACGTTAGCTCCCTCCAACTATAAATGATATTGACAAAAGCAAATGTACACGAATGAGTTTAGTTTACAACTGAATTAGCACATGCTGTGACTAAGCTGTACTTTGATTACAGAATAGGTAATATTCTTTTTTTAATATTAAAATAAGCCACTGTTTAGGATAATATTTTAGATGCAGTGCTCAGATACTGATTTCTCTGTTTTTTGTGGGGAGGGTTTGTTTGTTTGTGGGTTTTGTTTTGGGGTTTTTTTGGTTTGTTTTTTTCTTTTAAATTTGGTGACTAAACCAAACAGTGCCTGGGTCTGTGACTTCTCTCCTTGCTCCTTGTCAGAGAAGGGCTGCACTGTCTGATGGACACCTAGCAACCACAAGCCTTTGAACCAAATCCTGCTAGTTGGCAGGAAACTCATTCCTCATCAGAAATGCTCAGCCCATGTCCAACTGCAGCCTCCCTGAAGGGTTGCAACACTTCATTAGGTCACATAACATAAGAGGCACTTATCCGTAAATACAGCATCTATTTTGGCATATGTATAGACCTACTTGCTTTTGGCAAACAATTTTGTGCCAGCCCATAAGAGTCCTAATTCTCCAACTCTCTGCACTGCACCCCAAGAAGCCCTTTTGGAATCACATTATCAAAAATGTTCAATTTTTTTAAAATCTCAAAATGAAGTTTTCCCTCTTTTGCTCTTGTGAGCTGCCTTTGTCCTGAATTCACTTAGTTTCAGGACCCAAAAATAAACATTAAACTGCTGCTCTTGCAATTTCTCCCTTCCTGAGTAAGAAGCCCTAGGTTAGAGCAATAGTGATTACCAGAGTTTCACACATATTGTCAAAGCTACCTAAAGCCATTCTTTGTCACAATCTGCCCATAATCTACTTATCTCCCTCCAAAACTGGCAGTCTACAACCTGAACTTGGTTTTTAAAAAGCTTAAATCAAGATTACCAAACACTGGCCGTCACAGCTTTACATAACTTGAAACTCCTTCAGCAGAGCCTGCTTGCAGAAGGGACTAAAAAGTCCCCTGTTTTGCATGTGTTCAATTGGTATTCCTTTCTCTCCACCTTTCCCCAAAGAGCACAGACCACAAGCTACCTCATGGAGCACTGATATGCTATTTGCTCATTGAAATACAACCCCTTCCTTTAATGATAAAGACTTGAGAATCACAAGCATGGCTCAGTTAAGACATCTAGCAAGATTCTGTACTTGGCAAAGACCTCTTGAGAATCTGCAGGTCTCTTAATATTTGTACCTTCTTCCCAGGTTATTGGAGTTTGTTAAAGGCTATTTGGCATAAAATCACAAGAAGCTTTTTAAAAAGAAACATGAATTACAGAGATTTCTAAAGAACTAAGAAGACTACACATGTATCTTATAACAGGTTTCTAACTGAAAGCTGGCCATTTGCTTAATTTAGGGTATTCTGAATAACAGGCTGGTACAAATCCCAGTTTTCTCAGAAGCTCCTTTCATGAACATTTCTGGGATCAGCTGAACTAGAAGGACTTTTACAACCTGCGAGTTTAACATCCTAAACAGCTTGAACTACAGAACATCTAGGAAATACTTCTTCATGGAGCATTGTATCATACAGATCTACAGAAACTGCCAGAACATCTACCCCAGGGTTCAGACAGTAATTTTCTAACAACACAGAGCTGGCTGCTACTGCCTGTGTATCTACTGCCAGGTTTGCCTAAACCTGTGAACACGTGTAGCACGCAGGTCAATTGTGATAAGACTTTCTAGTTTCAAGAGGTGCCACAGCAATACACCTCTGACCCACAAACCACCTTTAAGTGCTATTTTTTACATTGTGGCTTTGACATACTCTCGCTTTTGAAAGTTGTCACTATCACCCTCTGGGGGAGAATTCACATTTGAAATTAGTAGATCAACAGGTGTCAAAACAAAGTACCTGTTCATTAACTGGTACTCCATCAGCCAGAAACACACAGAGAAAAAAAGAAGGGAAAAAAGAATCACAACAGTGTATAGTACTAACTGTGGGTATTCTAAAAACTGATTATTATTTAGACCTGCACCTATTCAGGACAGACCACCACATTTCTTTTAGACTTCTCTACAATTCCCTGCAACAGTGTATAAATATTTGGGGAATCATTAATACACAACAAACTTATTCTCATGTTAAAGTGGACGGAGATTGGGATGAAAGGAAACAGGGAACCCTGGAGTGGATCCAGTCCAGTTTCATTCTAATGAAGACAGGTGGGAGCTCCTATGGCTTATGTGTAGCTACCCTGCACATCAGCATGTTGCCTACCATCTGTCATTAGATACTGCAATGAGCAGAGAACAATGAGAGTAGTTTCTTGAGATATCTCCCAAAATGAAGAGCCAAAAATGACAATAAGGAGAATGGAAATTAGAACAGATTCCATTAGCTGAACTTCCCATCCTTGCTAAAAATGTTTAACTGAAAATCTAATTAAGGTTGTTGCAGCCTGTGTTCCACTGTATTCTCAGAGAAAATTAATTGCCATTGTGTCATTTCCTGCTCTTGTTACACACTCAGTCAATTAAATCCTTAGTATTTCCATGCTACAGCTATGAAACACCTGCAGAGGTACCTCACAATGTCTGATTAGCTTAAGCAACTTCCACAGTTCAGTTCAACCTGACATTTAAATGCATTATCTGTTTGCATGAGAACACAGAAGGACATGGCAGATAACCCTCAGGCAGCATGGGAGAGAATAATGTAAATTAACACAATCAATCCATACTAAGGTCTACCACTTAAAAAAACAGGTTCAATAAGGTTGCAAAAAAGAATGCAGACCAGGATTTGGTCTCAGTTTACAACAAGAAAGGGATTGAGGTTTCCTCTTACAACTTACAGCCCTTTTATAATTCCACCCTGTTTTGGGTGGTCCCATGCCATGGGATCTCATTGCTCCACTGCTTATGTCAAGTGACAATTCATTCATGTTTTGCAGTGCTACGTATGTAAGGCACTTCATACATACATAAAGTTCTCAGAATAAGCTAGTGCACATCAATATATTTCAAACCATGTTTAAGAACATGTTCCATTTATGTTACTGTACAGAAACTAGTTCCACACTGGAACTCCTAAGTAATGCATGAAGGTGTGGACAACTATACCAACATAATCCTATACCAACATAATGAGACGAGTCAAGTACAGCCCAGAGCATGAAAGGAAGGGAGCACCTTTGACTTGGAGGAGGGGAGGCTACCAAAAGCTTCAGGGTAAGGTATCCTGGGCATTGATAGATGAAACAAAGAAATGAAAACAGAAGCTAGAGGGAAGAAGGAAGTTGAGATGGTGTGAAGAAAGTACAATAATAAATAAAAAGGATGTGGTCAGATATCAGTGTTGTATTATGCCAAAATTCACATTAATTGCATAGTTTGCACATATCTATACTGTAGTGCTCTGGAAAGACAGTTTAAAAAAACAAATCAAAACACACACAAAAGGGGGGAGGGGGGAACAAAACAAACCAAAACTCAACCCGGACTGCAATAACAGACTCTGGCTGTAAAAAAGGGTCTGGGAGAATGATTTTTCAGCAAAAAAAGTAACTGCAGAGACAGGAAACAGCTTTCCTAATCATGTTGTTTCTACTCAAATCTGGTTTAACACATAAATACTCTGCAAATTAATATAACATGGCAGCACCCTCCATTCAAAGCAAAGAATGACAAGCCACCCCTGTCCTGACCCAAAAGGCCAATTAATACACACACACACACACACACACACACACACACACACACACAACACACACACACACACACACACACATAAAGGTCACTAAAAATCAGTAGCCATCTGCACTAATAGGAACTCCATTACAGAAAGCAGCATTTGGTAAACTTGAACCTTGTTACATGCAAAACTAAGTAATCTGAGAGCACCAAGGACAAAGACTCAGACCTGTTCCTACTGAGGCTATCTGGAGTTCTGTCACTAGACCTCCATGGTACCCCAAGTGATCTGCCTGGGCTCAAGCAGAAAGATCAGAGACAGAACCATGTGTGTAATCCATGACCAGTATCTCCAGGAGGACAGGTTGTCCTTCCTAAGCTACCCTATTCCATGGCTGTTGGCTTTGTAAACTGCAGAATGCGTCATGAGACTATAAACAGCCTTTATATTAAGCACATTGGGTTACAATGACCCTTCTAGTTGCCTGAGTTTGCCATGGCTCAACAACTGACCTCTTTCCCTGAAGGGCTATCACAAAAGATGCTATGACAAGCCAGTCAAAATAGACTGCCAAAAAGGTTGGAGCGAGACAGATTGCTATTGCAAGTAGAGAGATCACAAAAATCTTTCTATCCTCACTGTAGTGGAAAAAGCCTTTACTGAGAAAAGAATAATGGTTCATTAATTCATTCCCATGATGAAAATTGTAATGAAGATAGGAAATAGCCTAATCTTAACTCCTTATTAGTGTCTGGAACACACTCTCATGGCCCACATTCACCTTCCACTTAGGGAAGGGGGCACTATAAATGAAATATTT